TGAAATTGACGTTTAGCTAACAAACAGATTTAGTTCTAGAAGTCAAAGCCACAAGTAAAAAGAATGAAAATAAAAGCACAAGGTCTTCCTTCACCAACCCAAAAATCCTAAAATTATACACCATCCCATTTACTCTGCCCTATATTATCTTCAGCCTAAGATAGCTTAATTGTGCACGCCCACTTTTTAGACCCACGAGCCGCCCCTGATTAGATCTATAGATAATTTAGATTTGTCAGGGCTTCGTAGATTATGTTATGTATGTGAACAACTGAGCGATGTCATGCCAGTTGAACTGGCAGGAAGTATACTAAAACGTAATGCGTAGGCCTAATTGTGAAACAGTGTGGTGAAATCAGACACTCGTCAAAACAATGAAATCAAAGAAACGGGGATTTTTCTGATCGTTGGACAACTTCTTGTTTTTTTTTGTTTTGTTTTTTTAGCTCAACACCTTTAATGTACTATTTAAAACACATTTTTATGTGTCCAAAAAACATTGAATAAGGGCACTAAAAAAAAAAAATCTAAATTTCCTATCAAGTTTTGGAAGTTGCTAATTTTACGTCCCGCACAAGGCGACCACCACTTCCCTCAATCACAAATATTTCAACTTCTAATCAAGATAGATAGGTATTTTTTTCGCCAAAATGCACGACAGAAGAATACGCTTTAAGATGATTTAATAACTCTATATTCCCAAAACATTGACGAGCATAATCTGATTCTACCACGTCGCGACAAAATTAATTTCTCTCACTTTGAAGCATGAGCCACGTAAATCCACACTGGCGGATTTTATTCACGCCTTGGACGATCTCCGCAGCCAGAGAGTCGTTAAAGCTCAGCGTGGGTAGCTGGGGTTTGCAATGTTCATCGTGCAGCTGAAGCTTCATCTCCAGATCAGTGCTGAACTGTAAGTTACAAGCGTTTTTTCCTCTCTTCGAGACTGGTGCCAGGACCATCCCTGCGTTGTACGGCTGGGAAACGGAGCAGCGAGACAGTGAGTACGCTGGCTTGATTTTGAACGACCTGGGGGGAAATTATTTGTTTAAATGAAGAGACTCCACTCACAAATTTGGTGAGGGTTGTTGGCGGATGCTCTGGTGTGGTTTGCTTCTTTTTTCCTATGAAACATCTGTCGTCCTTATCTCCCCTGCTTCTTTGTTATGTTTGTTACTTTCTTGTCACACCTCTAATCATCTGGCGCTCATATGACCTTATGCAGTTGCGACCGCCGTAAAACCTCTACTAAAACTAAAACTATGAATTTGGTTGTAGTAAGAGTTTAGCAGCACTTGCAACACAATCGGGTCATATAAGTGCCAGAGATTAGAGGTGTTACTATAGATTACCGTAATATACAAAGAAAAGTAGGAGGAGAGATAAGGTCGATAGATGTTTGACAGGACAGAAAGAGTCAACCACACCTGAGCACTCACCAACCACCCACCCACTCATGGATGCTAGAGATATGCACGCAAAAGGCCACAACGCTATATATTATTATCCCAATCACAAGACGGGGATGATGCATCGGTATTGAATCATATTGACAAAACAGTGGAATGACTGAGAGGTCGCTAGGGCATAATACTTGGGGGCGTGGGGGGTGGGGG